ATTATTATTTGCCGTGGCGCTCCAGATTGACTTACAGATGGCTCCATTTACATAAATTTATGTATGTTAGGTATTTCTAACAAATTTCACAATCATGCTGGTGTACCGAAAATGATTGCCAGTGGCATTTGTCATTAAGATCCGTTCTGAGCAGTTCCCAGACTCTTGAAATAGATATATACCTTTAATTTTGTTTTATGGTTGGTCAAAGTCTTTTTTGGTTCAAGTTTTATTTTTTGTTGGTATTTCAAAATAAGTCGTTAATTTATAATCAAGCTGTTTTATTTTTGTTTCTATAATTTTAATCAAACTTAAATCATAACAATACTTTTTATTTATAAAAAAAATCTTTAGCTTATACACACACCAGATCCTTCTGTCGAGCTTCTAAAAAAGTTATCCAGATATTCCCGGACATTTTCATCATGGGAATGGACAAGTTGTTTAAAACCTGTACAGGTGGCATCCACGGGCATAACTGATTATTTTTTTCGTATAACTTTTAACCAATTAGAACGTTTAATTTAGTTAAGTTACCTCGTATAATTTCGATAATACCAGGGGTAGTATTCTCGAGTCACGAATATAGATTCGCATGCGAGATTTATGATTTGTCTCACTTGGTTTTCGTTCAACAAAGTGAGACACATTGTAAAACACGTATGCGAATGTCGGTATTCGTGATTCGAGAATACTACCCCTGATTATACATAGAGTAGCTCCACCAATCAAAAATATTTACAATAATTTCATTTCCGTAGTAACCACATCGACAACAATACACTAACAGGACCGTCAAATTTTGACGTTTATCAATAATTATTTTAAAATGAGTCGAATTAATAAATTGTTGAACAGTAAGTCAACTAATAATTAATTTGTGGACATTGCTATAAAAAAAAGGCATTCTATGTATTTAAAATGCATAAATAAGGATATTTCTAAAAATTAAATTTAAAATTTACTAAATACCATCGAGTAAATCGAAAAAAAAAAGAATCTCTTATCACTACCACTTTTTACCACAAACTCATTATCGTTTAAATAAATCAACTAGCTAAAGGTGTCCATACACTAAATAATGAGCGATTCTGATATTAGTAATAACGAGCTTCTAGAACGAATCTTAAATGGAAATTCTGCACTTGCTCTACAGATACAAGCAGTTGAAGTACGACTTTCCCTGAAAATAGAAGAAGTCAATCAAAAAATTAATAATCTATCTCAAGAAAATACAGAACTAAAAGAAAAACTTGAAACAATAGAGAGACATCAAAGGAAAAACAATATTATAATATTTGGTCTAGATAGAGAAGAAAAACAACTCAATATAAATAGTTTTTTAAATAAATTGAACAATTATCTCACAACTGATATTAAACAACCTGATTTAAATAATATATATTTACTTGGTAAAGGGCGACATTGTCCAATAAAACTGGAATTTATCTCCTACTTAAATAAACAAGCCATTTTTAGAAATATAAAAAATCTAAAAGGAACAAAAATAAGTATTGTTGATGACCTTACCTATTTCCAAAGAGAAGAAAATAAACTCCTAAAAACCCATCTACACGAAGCCAGAAAAGATAACCAAAACACTTGTTTCATTAAAAGAGGGCAATTGTACTTGAATGGAAAATATTATAAACCAACAGAATTGAATGAAATAAGTCCTGCATTTGAAAAAAACATCCCAAATAGTGACCCTGGTACTCCTTTGATAAACTCACAACCTACAGAACAATTTAATAAAATAAATCAAGGAACCTTATATCTGCAAGAGTCGTTGAGTACTGAAGAGGTTTCGGTATTAGAAAATCCCAAGAAAAATAGTGAAAAAACGAGAATAAATTATCTACTCCTAAAACCAGTGTCATCAAGAAATCAACTAAACTGAAGGCGGACCAACAAATTAATCAACAACCACAATACATCATGAACACCAGGAAAAAATCTAAGAGCTAGATTGAACCTCTCTACAAGTATTTATTTTTCTTTATACCAAAAATCTATTAACGTTATTATTTTTATTGTTCTCTCTGTCTTTAACATCCTAAATAATTTAAACAAAAAAAAAAAAAAAAAATAATATTGCTTTACTTGCTTAAAAATGGACTCGTATATTCGTGATGTAAATTATACACCTATAAATACCTTAGAACTTTCTGAAATTACAGAGTTCAACAAATTTTGGCTTAACAAAAAACAAAATAATTATTTTAAAATTTTTCATCAAAATATACGTAGTTTAAATAAGAATTTCGATGAACTAAAAATTTTTCAAAATGCATTGAATGTAGAATATGACTGTATTGTTTTAACAGAAGCTTTTAAAATTCCGGATACCAGTTTATTTCAGTTAGATAGTTATAATATGTTTTATAATGATGGAGAATTGAACAGAAATGATGGAGTCGTAATTTATTTAAAAAAACACTTTCAATTTTGGCAAAAAACAATATTTATTGGTTATTGCAAAGCATTACAAATTGAAATACAGATTAGTAATATAAAAAAAATAATAGTAACTGCACTGTATAGGTCTCCGTCAGAAAACGCTCAAGTTTTTATAGACAACATTCAAAAGTATCTGGAAAGTACACAAAATATTAAAACTGACATTCATATTCTCTTAGGTGATATTTACATAAATATCCTCGAAGAAACAGAAATTAGTGCATTTTATTTAGATACATTAAATGAGCATAATTTTGTCTCTATGATAAACAAGCCAACTCGGGTACAAGGAAACACAGAAACATGTGTGTACAATATTTTCATGAAAACAAAATTACAAGATCTCCAGGAGCAATGTATTGCGATTACTCATGAAAATCTTGTAACCGATCATAAAGCGACAATAAAAGTCACAGAGTTAATGGTAACCTAAAAACACAAATTGCCTATATAGATTATCCTAATTTAAAAAAAGATTTAGCAAAATTTGATTGGAATAATTATTACAACCTAAAAGATGTCGATACTTTAACGAAAACTTTGTTAGATCATCTAAATTTTTTTTATTAATAAAAATAAATTAATTAAAAATATAAATAAAACTAATACCAAACGTAAAGGATGGATCACTGAAGGTTTAGTTAAATCAACAATTTAAAAAAATAAACTATATAGGGAATACAAAGCTGAACAGCAAAACATAACAAAAAAGGAAGCGTATTTGAGTTACAAAAAAAATCTAGAAAAATTAATAAAAAAAGCAAAATATAATTATTTTAAAAAACAAATAGATCAAAATAGTAACAAACCGAAAAATTAATGGAAAATAATAAAAAATCTCATGTAATTCTGAAAATAATATAAATTACGTACTTAACAAAAAAAAGAAGATGACAGCTGATTGCTTTAATGATTTTTTTGTAAATGTTGGAAAGTCCTATGCAGAAAAAATTAAAAAGCCCACTGATCCACCTCCTTTGCCTAAAATAAACCCAAATAGCTTCTTCCTTGCGCCAGTTACTGAAAACGAAATAATTAACATTATCAAAGGTTTAAAAGCAAATAAAGCTGTTGGAATAGACGGTATTAAAGCGGATACTCTAAAAGAGATGGGAACTGAAATTGTAGAACCTGTAGTATACTTAATAAACAAAATATTTGAAACTAGCATTGTCCCATCAGAATTCAAAACAGTTATAGTAACTCCAATATACAAAAAAGGTGACAAAGCAAACATCTCGAATTACAGACCAATTTCAGTAATATCAGCGTTAACAAAACTTTTTGAAAAATCTTTAAAATCAAGAATATCTACATTTCTGCAATACAACAACATATTATCCAATAAACAATATGGTTTTAGAGAAGGACAATCTACATCGGATGCTATTGAGAATCTCATAGGTGAAGTAACACAATCCCTAAATCAAAGTAAACCTGTGTTGTGTGTGTTTTTAGATCTTACTAAGGCTTTTGACACTGTCGGTCATACTCAGTTGTTAGATGCCTTAGAAGAAGCGGGGATTCGGGGACCTCCAAATAAACTTTTTTCGAACTATTTGATGAATAGAAAACAAAGGGTAAAAATTAAAAATACACTTAGTCAGGAAGAAAAAATTAACTATGGAGTTCCTCAAGGGACTGTCCTGGGACCAATTCTTTTTATTATTTATTTAAATAGTATACTTAATAATCCAAGTGACGGCAAACTTATAAGCTTTGCCGACGACACGGCCATTGTCTATTGTGCAGATAATTGGAAAGACCTAAAACTGAAAGCAGAAAATGATTTAAAAAATATCTTTAACTTATTTAATCACAAATTATTGACCGTAAACTCCGAAAAGACCTATTTTGTTCCATTCTCTAATATCATTAGTACACTACCTAAATTTGAAACATTAGAAGTTAATAATAATCAAATTATACATTCTAAGAAACATATGAAGTACTTAGGGCTCTACATAGACTGTCATCTAAGGTTTGACGTCCACATTGGAAATCTTGTAAAAACACTGAGAACATTACTATATAAATTTAGATATCTTAAGAATATGATAGATAGGCCATACCTTAAAATAATTTATTACGCTCTCGTTGAATCCCGCATAAGATATGCTATTCTCAGTTGGGGAGGAGCTGCTACGTGTTATATGAAAAAATTAGATATATTACACAAACAGTTTTTAAAAATAATTTTTAATAAAAAACTTACCTACAGAACAAATTTGCTTTTTTATGAAGCTGGCATTCTTGATGTAAGACAGATGTTTATGCATCAAATAATTTTGTACATTTTTAAAAATCGAAATGTTCTTGAGTTTGTAAATCATGGATATGAAACCCGATATAGAGAAAATAAAAATGTTCAATCTGTGTTATTTACTAAAAACATTTGTCTAATGTATAAAATCTTTAATAGCCTTCCTGAACAATACAAAATGTATATATTAAAAATAAATGCAATCTCGTTTATTAAAAAAAGATTTAAATATTATATAATAAATTTAGGAAGAGAAAAAGTTCATTTACTTGTTATTATTTAATTATTACTCCTACATTTATGTGCCGCTCTGTTTATACATTTATTTTATTGTTATTTATACAAGTAATTGTTATGGTAATTGTTATTATAATTGTTAATTAACCATAAAACCCAATCTATTAGTGTTATCATAATACCATATCTATTAAACATTTTTAACCATGTGAAAAACTTTATTTACGCACAGCCTTCTTGGCTCCAGTAAATAAACAATTCTGGGTTTAAACTGTTTGTTCAGATTTACTTTGTTTTCTTTTTTGTCATTTTATAAATTATTCATTCTTTATTATGAAATACTTCGTTAAATGTAAGACTTTTTTGTTAATTCTGAATAAACGATATTATTATTATTATACTTAATTTACTCAAAAAATAATCGTATCAAATACAATACGTACTTCAAAATAAATACGGTTATACATCTCAAACTTCCTGCATAATTACAAATCGTGTCAGTTTGACACTCTTTATAATTATACAACAAGTTATCGATGTATAACCTGATTATTTTGAAGTACTTATAGTATTACTACTGATTATATCAACAATAGAGAATGCATTGCCAGCTGCTCTGGAGAACAAAAAAATTGTTTATTATTAAAATCACTAGTAACTACTAAGAAACCCATATTTTAAAATTAGTCACCAGTAGACTGGCAAACCAAAATTCACTGCTAGGCTCATAGCTCATCTCTAGTAAACTTATTTTGTTCTCGACAAAAATTTATCATTTTCCAGCTAATATATTGGTTTGTCTAATTTCTAAATAGGATAACTCACCTACAGTAAAATTCACATTTAACCTTTATGGGCTGTCGTGGTAAAGCCTTTTTCTATAGCTATTCGCTCCGTGCGCGACAGCAGCGCCAATTTGTTTTGGTATTAAAAAGGAGTATTTCTGCCTATACTGACAAATACAATTTTTAATAGAAATCGTAAATAAAAAGTATATATGTTAGTTTTAATAAAAGTATATGGATTTATAAAACAATTAAAACATTAATTTATTATTATTATATATTTTTCACGCTTAAATTGAAGAAAATTATGTATAATCATTAAAAATCAATAATAAAATATAGGCAGGCAACAGTATTTACTGGAAAATGTATGAGAAGTTGCCTAAGTCTAATAAGTTGTCATTGAAGAAACCATTTATAATAGCGTGAAGTTAAAATGTATAAAAAGGATCGCTACTTATATTTTCATTTTTGTTCTAAAGAAAACATAGAATGAATGATTAAAACTGGTTTCCGATCAGTAAGTCACAAAATTGCATACCAGCCAAATATTATAATCAACGGCAGAAATCTTGAAATCTAGTCCTTGCTGAATAAACATTTAAGAATAATGGGATATTAAAGAACATCGTAAAATGATAATTTATTGTTTATTTAAAAACTTTCTAGTTTCTGATGTCTACTATTTCCAGCATTACTGTTATTATCACAAAAATAAAGGTAATTTTTCTTCTTATTGTACACCTATCCATTTATTTCTTTGATTTAATTTCCACTTTGTTAGTGAAATTTGTTATATAAGTTTCACTGTTTTTTTTTTTGCTAGTATTTGTACAATTTTCAACACAGCAACTCCGGTTGCTTATTGTGTTGTTTTTACCTACTTTTTTGAAAAAAAGTAAAATGTATACGTGTATTTGATATGCCAAAATTACAAAATATCCCCCTAAAATGCACGAATTATCCGCAGCTAGCGCTAGTATCGCTTTTGCTTCCCTTTCCATGACTTCGCACGGAGCGAATAATATGTGCAAAACTAAACTATTTAAACTATGGTTAATTAAGAAATGATAATTCTGATACTACAAAGCAATCATTTCCATATCATATCTGATAACACAAAGTACTACTCATTCCCAAATTATTTTAATAAAATAATGTGTTGACATGAAATGTCAAATATCAAATATTAAATAAAATTATCTAGAAGAGAGTTCTCATTTTAATTTTATAAAAAATAATTAAAATGGGTAGCAGCATATTATTTACAAAGGACAATTTCGATTTTAGAGAAATGCTAATTTCCTACTAGTATGCATCATTTTTTTTATGTTTTCCATTTAAGATTAAGGTAAACTTTTAACAAATAAATCAAGATAAAATTAAGTAGAGATGACATGAACACTATTTTGCGATATGACAGATGGGTGGACTTAGCAATATCCTACTGAATGAAAAGTGTAATCAAAATGGCAACTAGTCTTTGATTTATTTAAAGTCAATAATTTTATGTTTGAAGATTGAGGGATTGAAATGTTTTTATATCATTTTATCTCCTCTTTATTCTATCTCAATGAACTAAATAAATACAAACTACAAACACCAGCAAATTCAAAGAAACCTAGGTACCAAAAAAATAGTGTTTTTCTTTAAATTTTCTTTTTATTGGCTAGATCTAATGACAACTGTTTCACTACAAATTGTAATGTTTTGACATATTTTCAGGTCCTGTAAATTTGGGGGTGTATGTAAATATCTAAATAATAAAAGTGTATATTCTAATATAATTTACAAATATAATAATTATTCCACTACATTCCTCTTGAACCTCCAGCTGTCCTAAAACAAAAGAATACCTACTTCAATCATCACTGTCTAATCAATAAAAGAATTATGGATAGGACAACGTTTAATACCAGAGATCAGTTTACTTAGATCATTCTGACCAATATTCTTTATTCCATTAATTCAAAATGTGAATTAGGCATTCCACTGACCTGTCAAACAATAGGTGCCAGTGGGAAATTCTTGTATATTTAAGGGGGTAGCGACATAGTCTTGCAACTTGGACGCTATTTTTATTCGAAGTAGTACTCGCCAAGCCTGCCAATTAATGAAGAAATGTATAGGTGGGTTTTTTAAATATTATTTTTATTGTGTTTGACATAAAATATTTAAATGTAATCCATTATTCATGATTTTACGTAAAGTAGATAGAATACACCATATGTCGCCACCCTTAGATATACCAAACCTGCCCACTGGTAATTCATTTGTTTGGAATGCCTAATTAAGTATGGAGTTGTTGAAGGAATGTTATTCAACTGTCTTTAAAAAAAATTCTACCTACTATACATTTTATTCATCGGGAATAGCTTCTAATCCTTGAACTTTGTAAGGATTTCCAGTCAACCTCCTATCCCTTAAATATTGTCGTCTATTATCTTTTTCGAGTAAAGTTCTTCGGTACATATTTCCAACTAATAAATTGTTAATTAAATAGGCAGAAGCATGAGGAACTGCCATTACAACACAAATGATACCAAAACTGGGCAAAATTTCGAACCACATTTTAAAAAAAAGAAAAATCTTGTACTCGATGTTCAATTTTTTTTTATATAAAATGACAGTTGACAATAATTGCATAACCTCCACTTCTTCATTTTTTAAAAACTTGAAATTAAACCGATTATGCATTGTGCGTGAATATTTTATTAATCAAATGTTAACATAAAATCAAAAAAATTTGATCAAAAATCAAAAAATGTACTTAAATTTAAAAGATACAACGTTTTTTAAAAAAAAATTAAAAAAGAATATGTATAAATCTTTATTTACAATTGTCGAGGTAAAGACCAGTTTAGAAAAAGTAGAATCTCATTGACATTAATGACATTTGACAAATGAAGTTAATTTTTTTTATTTTTTATATGGGTAGAAAATAAGTGTTTTACATTTTGGAATTAAAAATGAAATTATTCTATGCATTATTCCGAAGAAGAAATATGCCTAATGGGAATATTCATACAGGAAAGCACCGGATATATAAAGAACCTACAATAAGAGATGTAATCAAATTGAAAAATCAATTTGAAATTGAAGAAAAGAACATGTTCCTTTTAAGGCACTCCTATTTGACTCCAGTTAGTAATTAAAGATTATATTGTACTATTAAGTCTATACACTTATTTTTTAGGAGCAGTCACGAGGTCATGCTAGAGCCTTAGGCAAAAATGAAGCTAACTTCATTAAGACAAAAACAAAGCAGAGACCTTTTTATGACAATGTCACCATTGAATCCCGTTTATCACATTTGAGGGTTAACGAAGGATGGGATTAGTATTTTTGTATAAAGTAGGGTTTCAATTTATAATATAGAACAAATTTATAAATAGTGTTAAAATAAATGTTTAATCAACAGACTTAATAATAGAAATTAATGGCTCAGTGCCAGTTTCCTAAAACAACCTCGTTTTTTTTCGTATATTCTAAAATAATTTCTGTAAATGCCAGAGTTATTGCCTAATCCTTAAAATTGTTCATTTTCGGTGGCACCATCTATACCTAAAGGTTTGGCAGTTTTTTATAGTACATTCAATAAAGTGCTTTGATCTCCATTTTTACACTTTTAATAATTTCAAAACAACCTCTTTTCGTATATTATTTTAAAATCATGTGCATGTTGCCTTTATTTGTTTTCAGTGCCAATATCTATACCTAAAGATTAGACAGTTACATCTAGTAGATGTAGTAGACACAAGTAAGGTGCTTTGATCTCCATTTACCCACTTTAATTGAAGAAATTGGCGTAATAAGGTTACATGCTATATTAAGTAAGTTTTGGGAAATTGAGTTTTAAAGGACTCCACACTTTTTACATTGATTTTGGGTACTGACAGAATTTGTTCAAATTTTAGTGTGTAAATTTTTCAAATCATTAGGGGCAACTTTCTTATGGACTTCAAGTAAGCAGCTCTACAGGGTTAGCTCTTAAAAGGATTCAAAAGTAATGAGGGCAGAATTAATATTTTCAAATATATCTCCACCACTCTTTAGTAATACTTGTTTTTCCCATGAAACTTATGTCATGTGTTACACTTGTATATAGTTTGTTCATGCTTACTTACACTTTGTAAAATAAATTATACAGAGTGTTTAAAAAATTAGGAATATCAGTTACTGAAATATGGTGCGTTTTACATGTATTACCATAGTTAGAATATGACTTCTGAACAACATTTTTTTTTTTTTTCATTTCATATTAGATCATTTTTAAAAGTAATACAAGGTGTGATAGAACTACATAACTAAGAATTGCAAAAAAAGCATTTAACGAAAAATTGGTACCTATACCTAAAATATTGTATAAAGTCTTGAAACGAATTCAGTTTTGCTCGTATTATAATCATAGTTCTGTTTATCCAACCAAGTCCCGTTCTACACCTACTTAAATGTAGAAATAATTATACTAACTCTGGCTCGAATGAATGACTAAGAAGAAATATTCTAATTGAAAAGCCCTTTCTGATTTTTATATAGAACACATATAATATGTCAACTTATCACTTCTAAATATAATAATTCTATTTTTGAGGATTTAGTAGGTTAATTTTAGTTAAATTAAAACAAAAATAACTATGGTTTTTTCAGTAGTAATTTATTTAAAAACTGATATGAATACTCATGATATTTAATCCTGGCCAATTCTTATTGTTTATCTATTATTCCACACCACTATATACTTTTATCTTGGTTTAAAATATTTTCTAAGCATATAACATTTGTTTTTATTTCTTTGTTTATTAATCAGAATAATTACAAAAGGATTCTATAAGATAAAAGGTTGGTGAGTGTTAGATTAAATTACAGCTAAATTATCATGATAGAGTTAACACGTTGTCTTTGCAATTTCAGACTACATTTGCTGCAGTTTTTTATCCATATCGGATGCATCTGAGTTGTTATGAATTTTTGATAACGTGATTCAAGGTAGGTAAATTAGTTGGAGCAGATGCGTTCGATGTGAATAAACAAACGTTTTGAGAGGTAAACAATCGAATGTGGATATTCAATCATAGCAATTCTATTGTACATGGTATATTTTCTTCTTTCTTTTTTGGGTTGTGATTAAGAACAATTTCAAAAGTTTGTCATTAGAAATTTTTTGATAGTAGGTAGTTTTATTTTTATTAGGAAACTTTCTATGTGGCGTGCGTTCGTTTTTTTTTTGCAATATATTTGAGAATTGTTAATAATGTATATTTATAGAGTACAATAAAATTCAAGAGAATCCCATTACTAGATATTACTGTACATGTAAGACTGGTTCAAGAACTTTAGGCATGTGTGCACATATTTCAAGTGTTTTGTGGTATCTGAAATATGCACGATTCGAAAATTATATAAAGTACCCTTTAAGTGTTTTATCAAGGACTATTTTAGATGCTGTTGAAAGATGAGTCAGATTTTGAAGGTGTGTAAATAGTTAATGTATTTAATAAAACAAGTTTTTAAAAAATGAAGTTTCTTTTATATGGATTTATAATTTAGTGGAAGTCTAAAAATCTATGTAAAGAAACTGTAATATTTTTGTATTAAATATAATGTCTTTCTGTCACACCCTGTATTATTAATTACTATTGTCTAGTATTTAATATAACAAAGAAATCATCAGGAGTCATGTTTTAATTATGGTAATACATGAAAATGTACCTTATTTCAGTAATTAATATTCCTATTTTTTGAACATTCTATATGATTTATTTTACAAAGTGAAAGTAAGCATTAACAAGCCATATACAAGTGTAACTCATGTAATAAGTTTCATGAAAAAAACATGAATTACTTAAGAGTAGTAAAGATATATATGAAAATATTAATTCTGCACTCCTTACTTTTGACTACTTCTGACAGCTCACCCTATAAGAGCTGCAAACTTGATGTCCATAAGAAAGTTGCCCATTATGACCTGAAAAGTAACATACTAAAATTTTAACAAATTCTGTCATTACCCAAAATCAATGTAAAAAGTGCAGGGTCCATTGTTTTAAATCTATCAAATACAAATAAAAAAAATATTTAAACAAAAATATTTCGGATTGGAGGTAAAATAATTTGTATGTAGCTAGTATTATCCTCGTTCACAGATGTTTTGAGCTAAAGCAGTCACTTCACGACAAATTGTGGCTTGCATCTTTTTTACAGAGAGGGATTCAATTAATTGTTGGTTACACTTATGTTTAGTAACCTAGTTCATTATGAGCCAAAACTCCCACTCATTATATCCGAGGACATATCGAGTGTTTATGGTAACCTTATTGAATAATGTGCAAGTGGAATACATGTTTTTTGTATTTTTGACGTATAAAGTCTGAGAGTTTTCATATAACTGTTTATTTGGTATCAAGATCAGGAAAGATAATAGTAATTGCATACGATTATAATTGAAGAAGTCTTGGACAAAAATATAAAATCAACTACTTTTTGGCCAAAAGTTGTAGTAAAAAAAATCAACTTAAACAGAAAGCAATTTTATTTAATAAAATAATACTGTAGTATAGGATGGAAGGGATTTATCTTTCAAAACTGGTATCACACTATACACTATTATGTGGAAAAAAAATATCATATTAAAGTTATGTAAATTGGGTATTCTATACACTTTTTTATAAATCTTAGATAATTTACAATATAAAAATTATATTCATCTTCAATGAGATCACACTAGTGTAATATATCTAAGTGTTCATCATATATCTACAAAAGATCAAAAGATAATGTTTTTTCAAGTTAGTAAATAAAATATGACAGTATTTTAGTAAATTTAGTAGAAGAGTTTTAGTAACTATTTACTATTTGTGCTAGTATTATGGCAAAAACCAGCCAAGTATGGTTAGTGTGACTTCAGTTTCGAGTCCATTTAATACATATTATATTGTTTTAAGGTCTTAAAAAAGAAATTTAAAGGTATGTAAATTCTGTGGTAAGAAGCCACAACTTGATAAGTCGACTTTTTACCAAAATTGAGTTATCAACACGACTGTGTTCGTCTCGACGAGATCTACAAGATGGTATAACTTTATAAGTCGAATTCCTAATAATAACGGTCATAGAAGTGATGCCCAAACCTGATATGTTTAAAGTTGATATTACAGACGAGGTAAGAACTTGATAAGTTGACATAACAATGTACGCCTCTAACTAAATGGTTTTTAAAAAGATGTCAACACTTGATATGTCGATTTATCTAATACTTCCACTTTCAAAAACAGCTAATTTTTATAGATTTTAAAGAAGACATAACTTGATATGTCGACATATCAAATTGTACCTTCCTTGAAAATATCCTTTATTCTGTAGTATAGCAATGCGGAATATGTTATGTGAACATATCAAGTTTTCGCATCTGAGTAAAGATGACTGCACTACAGTGATGTCACTTGTCAAGTTGTGTTATCAAGTTTTGTCACTCTTCAATATTATCGATTTTAAGGTTATTTAAAATAGGTGCTGTTGTTTAACAGTTCTGTTGTTGTGAAAAAAGTGTGTTTTAGGAACCAACAATGCCTTATTCTTGTACTAACTGTAATAAAATATGTGTAACTCGAAGTGAATTGATGGTACATTCCGGAAAATGTGGAGGTAAACTTCTACAGTGTGGTTCAAGTTATTCGGTCAAAAGTGAGGTTAGTGTTACTAAAAATGATCGTACGTTTGATGAAAAAAATCCAGCTACTGGCGTAATCTCTATGCCACATAATACATTGATGTGTAAACCTTCAACTAGTCGCCTAAACTCAACATATGAACCCCAGGTAAATATTATAATATTATTAACGTGAACCTAATGTCGTTAAAACTAATAGTAAGTCTACTTAAAACTAATGTTTATATGTTGTTGTAGGACTCTTTCGAAGAAGATTCCCATGACTCAGATGCAGACCCGCAATGGACTCCTGTCCTTAAAGACGACTCCAGGAAACGAAAGCTATTTAGTCTAGTACTATCAAAGGGGAAAAAGACAAGATCGGAAAGTGATACTGAAGGTTATTTTTTTTATTGTGTATGATTATTTTAAAGATTACAGATTATACATTTTTTTTTGAATTTGAGAAGGGGATTTAAAAGATTGAATGATTTAAGGATTTGTTTGTTTTTCAGATGAAGGTATGTTGGATAATGAACTTGATATACGTAGCAGACCACTAATAGTTTCCGAAAGCAACATATCATTGGAACCATCTCTTACTTCTACTTCCTCTAAACCAAAAAGAAAGAAAGGTGTTAGAGCGCGTGAACAAGAAAAAAATAAAAGAGATCACGGTTTGGCCTACAAAAATAGAAAAGGCCAAGTTAAAGGTCCCATCGAGTTCAAGCCTATTGAGAGATGTTGTCAGAGGAAAAAATGTTTCGAGATAGTAACACCAGAAATACAAAATCAAATATTTAAAAATATTTATTCTTTGCCAATGAAAGTAAGAGATCAAACGCTGTGTGAAAGAATGGAAATTTCAAATACAAAGTATAGTGCAAAAGGTAGAGGTAAGAGTGATCTAACTCACGACCGGCTTGTGACTGTCAGTTATAGTATTATTGTTGAAAATAAGAAACACAATGTTTGCAAATTAATGTTCATGAGTGCGTATGGCGTAACCAGAGGGAAATTGGACATATTAATAGAAAAGAAAAGGGCCTCTTCCTATGGTGTTATTGATGTTGATATGAGGGGTAAGCAAACACCACCCAATAAAACAAGTGATGAAGAGATAAATTTAATTTTACAGTTCATAGACAAATACCCAAGACACGAAAGTCATTACGCTAGGCGAGATAACTCATCAGAAAAGATATTTTTGCCTAGCCACTTAAGTATTAAAATAATGTACAAAGAGTACTTACAATGGAGAGAAGAAAATGGTTTCGAAAAATCGGTTGGCTACGACACATTTAAAAAATTTTTTAAAACAAAGGGCTATAAGTTTAAAGAGCCATTGATTGACACGTGCAAGACTTGCGATGAGTTTAATGTATTTAAAAGACATGCTACTAGTAAAGCTGACCGTGATGAAATCGATAAAAATCATAATGTTCACGTTCTAGAGGCACAAGAGGGTTATGACCGTAAACGTGAAGATAAAGGAAATGCAAAGAACACTGATTACCAAAGAGTTTTGGTTTTTGACTTACAACAAATTTTGCCTGTGCCATACCTCACAACCAATATTGCATATTACAAAAGACTATTAACTATGTACAACCTAACCATCCGTGATTGTTCACAAGAGAAAGAATCGTCAGACTGTTGTATGTGGAGTGAGCTTCAAGGAGGGAGAGGATCAGATCAGATTGCCTCTTGTATTTTAAAAAAGCTTCTTCAGCTACCAACAAGTGTAGAGCAGGTAGTTACGTACTCAGATACATGTGGGGGCCAGAACAGAAACATTAATATGGCAGTTATGTTTATGTATGCTCTGGCAAAAAACGAGAATCTGAAGGTCATTGATCAAAAGTTTCTCCTACCAGGTCACACACGTCTAGAATGTGACAGTGACCATGCCCGTATTGAGCGGGCAAAAAAAAGACTTGGGTCATCAGGATCTTCCAAAAGTGGGGGAGAAACATATAGGATTATGGTTCCTCGTGATTGGTGTCAGTTTGTAAGAGCTATCCCTGGGAAAAAAAGCTTTAATGTGATTGAGATGAACTTACCAGATTTTAAAGCGTTTTCATCTCTTTTAGTTAAGAATAATATTTTAGTTCATCGCAATCAAGATACTGAGAAAAAGCCAGTCGAGTGGCTAAAAATAAAATGGCTAAGATACACTAAGGATTTTGGAGTCATTCATTTCAAATATGATCTGAATCCATTTTCTCCATTTCGAACCCTAAATATTATTCGCGACAGAAAAGGCCGCAAAATCTCTGCTAAGAATCTTGAAGTTGGTAACTCATATGGGAGTACCATTGGGATAAATCCTTTGAAAAAGAAGGACCTGTTATCAATACTAAGTTTAATAGATACAGAGTTCCATAACTTCTACAAGAAGCTCCCGACAACATCAGCAGCTCAGGAGTTCGATGAGCTGAGCGACACCCAGGAAGACTCCGATTCTGAAACCTAGTTTTTTTTGTATTTTGTGTATTAAAGAAATATTAATTTCATGAAATGTTGAATTTTTTTCCTTAGGTATATTGATATCAAAACCTAAAAATGTAAGTATTTTCAGAAAAATAACAAGTTTTGGGATATTTTTAGTTCTGTTATCGATTTGCCAATTACATAAACATGCCAGAGTAAAAGATGGCAAAACCTGTTATGTTGAACAATCTTAAATAACTCCGATATTTTGACATATTTCACTTTCATACTTAAAACTCCCAATATTTGGTGTTCAAGCTCTACGAAAAGTATTAACTGTAAATTGTATGTTGAAGTACAGATTTACCTCAGACAGTTTTTCTTAAAATGGCTCTCCTGTAAAGTTAGCGGAAGTCGATATATCAAGTTATGGCTTCTTTCCACAGAATTGATACCTAACGTCGATTTTTATTTTTTGTTTTACCGAATTGATTACTTATTTAATTAAAATGTCATTTACTTACTTTAGAAATATATTTTAAGACCTTAAATGAAATAACAGTTCAAAAACTAGATATTTTGTCTATAAATAACTTTGTTTGGCTGGTTTTGTAGGTCATCACCAGTGTGCTGCATGTGAGATTACTTTGGAAATATTACTATTATTTGTAACAAAATCAAATAGTTGTAAATTAAAAACAAAACTAATTTTTAACTTAACAATAAAAGCACCTATTTTACATACTTTGTTTTCTATTAAAAAGTAAATATGCCCAACAACTTGTTCTATTATTTATTTGGAGAATGTATCAAAATATATTTAATTCAATTTGACTTAAATTGATACCTTTTGTAGAAGTGGAAGTTTACAGCACGACCCATTAGGTGAGGGGCGAGGATTCCACATTTATAATAACACTTGCATAAGTTATTAAATTTCTATGTATCATGCGAAAAGATAACTTTTACATATAACAGGGTAAAAATTAACACAATAACTACATAAAAAAATAGTTTTAAGTTTGTATAATAATGCCTAATATTTACATTTTTTTAGGAGCTGGTATTATGATTAATTCATAAATATCAAAAGTTTGTACAGTCAGCGCAGTGTAATTTGTTTCAAGTGGGAATGCGCAATAGTGTCGATTTTGAATTGACGATTCCTACCGTAAATGTGCAAGAGAGATACAAACAGTACAAATCATATTATTTATGAAGGTGTGCAAATTATACTCCACCATAGAAAAATTAATCTGCGTCGGCTGTAACTATGTAGATCATCAATTTTTACGTACTAGATGAAATTAATATTGAATTAAACATACTGTCTCCCCTTAGCACAAATCAACCTCAATATTTGTTTCTATTTTTTTATGTAATTAATTAGGAACAACATCCTTCGTCCAGGCTAAAGGATCTTCTTTAAGAGCATCTTCCGTCAACGTTTTTCCCTGCGCCAAAAGTTCAGCAAACTGCGAAACAACGGGATCTCTACCACAAGTACATGCAGCGACCACGACGCCATCCTTCAAGAAAAATGCAACAAATTTGAATTTGGAAACGTCTCCGTCGTATATTATGTTGTCATAGTCACCATGACCGGCATACCTAAAAAAATTATTGATGGTACAGTTATGTTATTCAGGTTCGCTGATAAAAATTGGCGCTAATCAGAAATTTGAGACTTTCTAGACAAGATTTATTATCTCCGAATATGAGTTTTCAAAACTAATTGCAGGACATGTGTACATTTTATGGATTAACTCAACAAACAAAAATTTTAAGAATTAATAGATACTTTGGACACTTTTAACACAATTCTATTTGTCTGGATAGGTTGATTGAGAGGATGATATGGAAAAAGAAAGAATATTTTTAAGAATAATATGGTATGTGGAAGGCAAGATTTTGTTCAAAAACCGTTAACACCTTAACGACCGCGTGCTCACTATAGTTAGCACACTTTTATTTTTCCCTGGGACCGCGTGTTAACTTCAGATAGCACACATGATATTGATATTTTCACAGCTGTGATATCGACAGGACGCACGTTAATGCTAAATATATAGATTGCCGTAGTTAGCATGGGGCACACCAAAAAAATTGAGATGTCATTTATCTTGTGATGTAATTTTTCAGTAGCTGTATAGTTACTAATCTACATGTACTTTAATATAGAAAAATATTTAGAAAAAATACTTTATTTCATAAAGGAATGCAAATACTCTTATAGGAAAACGTTATTTTATTTTTTTTGGCTGATTGAGATGAAAAAATAATGTAAATAATTTTTTTTGCACTCATACACTCATACTTCTCGCACATTACTGAGCTGCAATCTGTCCATGCAGAGTTTTGGTTCTAATATAGCAAATGCTATATCTAATGGTTTTTTCTTCTTCTTTTTCTTCTGTTCATCAATTGGCTCAATGGTGACTAAATAAGCCATGGCTAAAAGTTCTCTGAACTTCGTGATCAATATTTTATTTTGTGTATTTTTATATACTATAAAAGCATTTACCATTACTGAACCAAACCTGATTTAGGTTGCTAGTTTTATATACCATTTAGTTCCTCTTTTTGACGTAGGCTTTCATTTAATGCGACATGTCAATATAGGCTTTAGATTTAATATGATGACTTGGGGTTTTTCTATTTCATTTGTCCGTTTGTTTTGGATCATTCCCATTTGATGAGTGTGATATTGTGCTCAAGATAATGAGTTATCTACAGTTAGCACCCGGTCCCAGTATTTGAAATCAAGCGCTCGGACCGCGTGTTATCCAGATATTGCACGCCCAAAAACAATATTTGGAAATAAAGAATAAAATTGCAGATATGAAACAATGTTTTATTAAGTTTCTAACTAGTATTTCAAATAAAAAGTTGCCGGTCCGTGGGGCCAGATTTGGCTTTACGACAGCGGTCGTTGTGGTGTTAAAGGTTTTTATCTATTTTCCTGGCAATATATTCAGTTCCTACACGAGCCCTTTAAAGTTTACTGTCTTACCTGAGTCCGTTTCCGAACAGCATTGTCCAAAAGTAAGGCACCGCTTTTAATGCGGTTTTCCTTCCCAAAATATTCAGCGCCGCAATTTTTCCATGATAATGGGCCAACGGAAAATGCCCGATGGCCGATTTCTGGTTATTGTGCGACCATACAGGAGCGTACGCGATGTCGCCACCGACAAACACTTCCGGTACGTTGGTCTGAAGATATTCGTCGGTTTCGATTGTTCCGTCGGGACGCATTTCGACTCCAGAATTTTTTATAAAATCCGTCGCATAGGTACTACCGATTCCCATTATTACTAAATCAGCACGTAATAATGAACCTACAAAAAGTATTGAGAATAATATAAGAACTGGAAATATTGATGTTTCTCATGACTTACCATCAGTTAAAACTACTTCTGCCGCATTTCCGTCATTATCGCCTTTGATTTCGGTTATCCCACTTTGCTTTACGAAATGTATTCCTTTGGATTCGAACAGCTGCAGTACGGCGGTTCCAATTTCTTTACCTAAGAACGGTTGGAAAGGCAGATCGCCTCTAAAAATCACGGTAATTTTCTTGACTTTTTTATGGCAAAAATTAGCTGCTTCCATAGCTATGAAACTACCTCCTAGAACGACGACTTCTTTGTCTTCAGCCAACAGCGAATTTGTAAATCTACAAAAGTTCGTTATAGACACAATTCAAAGCCACTTTTAGATTTGGAAAATAAATTACAGGTCACTATACTTACTTAGCGTTATCATAATCCCGTAAAACAACTACATTTTTTAAATCGGATCCAGGTATGTTTATTTTTCTAGGTTTACATCCAGTAGCGATGTACAATTTGTCATATTCCAAAGTGGCTCCTGTACTTAAAGTAACGATTTTGGTATCGGTTTTTATTGCAGTAGCTTCAATTCCCTTTAGTACATCGATGCCATTTTCCTTGTAAAACGGGTCTCCTCTAAATTGTAACTTTTCTATTTCAGCGTCCATAACTTTGCTTACTTTTACCTAGAATAATAATTATAATATAAAAAATGGTATTTTCTATAATTTATTACATATTCTTCAGGGTACAACACCCTACAACAATCAAACTTATTAAAGATCCAACAATTAATGAAATTATATAATGAACTACCAAGTACCATCATCAGTTAAATAAATTTAAAACATAGAGCAGCAAAAAACTAGAATCAAGATATATAATGCTTGGCATTCTATGTTACACTCTTCAATCAGATTTTTCCCAAAATCAATATGATTCGTCCGCTTATAGAGCTCGATTTTTTTTTATTTTTAATTTTCAACAATTTTTGTTTTTAACCCACTTCAAAAAAGGAGGAGGTTCTCAATTAGTCGGTATATTTTTTTTATGTATGTTCACCGATAATTCTTTAACACGGTGTCCGATTTCAATGATCCTTTTTTGTTAGAAAAGGGGGTACTTAATTCAAGGGTGGTCCCATATAAATTTGGGCAATATCGAATAATCGGGTCCATGAGAAAATTCTCAAACTCTTAATTTTTCATATATGTTTATGGATAATTCTTTACCACCTTGTCCGATTTATATGATTTTATTTTGTTAGTAATGGGGTACCTCAGGGGTGGTCCCATATAAATTTGGTCAAAATCTGATAATTGGGTCCATAAGAAAATCCTCAAACTCTTAATTTTTTTATGTATGTTTAGCGATAATTCTTTACCACCTTGTCCGATTTCTATGATTCTTTGTTTGTTAGTAAGAGGTGGTCCCTTATAAATTTGGTTAAGATGTGGTGATGACATCTGCACAATTTTGAAGTCAGTTTTTTATTTTAATAGTTGTTGACTTATCGTGCAGACAAAAAACGTGACATCGGAAGGACGAACAAAATAAGCATACAATACTCTTCAGAGACTACAGTGTGAAAAGTATAACGCTAGTAAATACTTTTTCTATACCCACATGGATATTAGCTTATCTACGCACAGATCACAAAACGAAAAATATGCTATTGCCTTCAACTGAACGAATATATTTCATATCCATTCTAGGTAGTGAGAACACTGCAAAAATAGTAATTTGTGCAACAAGAGTGGATATGATGGCCATACCGCACGAAGACGAAATTTGAGCACGACGCCGTAGGCGATGTGGAGAATCCACTCGAGTTGTACAGTATATTTTTTCTACGACCCACTAACGAAAATTTACAAATAAAAAAAATATTTTAGGTTATTAAGACAAAATAACTAAGACTTTTAATTATTTATAAAATAAAAGAAAAAAGTTTTTCCCCATCCAAGAATGGAAGTCGAGTCTACTGTGTGGAAGGCAGGAACACTGACCACAGGACCACCTGCCCTTTTATTTTTGTTGCTTTAATACTCGTAATTAAATTGACTTCATATAGTTTTATTTAAACAAACAAATTATTTATAATTATAGACGAAATAAAAACAGAAATGCTATTATTTATTGATTCTATACAAGAATAGCCCTTTTTAATGTATGTTTAATCTCAATAACTAAAAAATATACTGACAATTAGTTTGACAAAATTGTCACTTATTTAAAATTTTAAAAATAATACCTAGCAGTCGGTTGATCAAAATATGAACGGTGATTGGTGGATTTAATTTTTTTGCAGTGTTCTTACTACCTAGAATGGATATGAAATATATTCGTTCAGTTGAAGGCAATAGCATACTTTTTCCTTTTGTAATCTGTGCGTAGATAAGCTAATATCCATGTGCGGGTGTAGAAAAAATTAAATTCGCTAATCACAGTTCATATTTTGGTCACCCAACTAATATTATTTTTTAAAATTTTAAAGTGTCAATTCTGTCAAAATAATTGTCAGTATATTTTTTAGTCATTGAGATAAATATACATTAAAATGAGTTATTATTGCCTAGAATCGATAAATAATAGCATTTTTATTTCGTCTATAATTATAAATAATTCGTTAATTTTAATAAAACTATTTGAAGTTAATTTAATTACGAGTATTATAGCAAAAATATTAAGCGTTTCGATGGTGGCCGGATTCAAATCTAGGATGGGGACAAATTAATTCTTTTTTTTTTTCTTGTTTATTTTATATTATTAATAGTAAAATTCCTAAATTATTTTATTTTAATAACCTAAAATAATTTTTAATATTTGTAGATTTTCGTTAATGGGTCGTAGAAAAAATATACTGTACAGCTCGAGTGGATTGTCCTTATCGCACTGCACCATATCCACTCTTGTTGCACAAACAGCTATTCTATCTGATTCAGAAAAATGTTTTTAGACCCACCATAGACTTTTGATCAGCTGATAATTTAATCGGTTGCTTGAAGGATAGAAGGTTAAAATTGATAATTTTATTTCTGACTTACCCGATCGTAAGGCAGGTAGTTTTCCTTACAAACTAATGTAATTTTTCCCGAAAATCCTTCTTGCCTCAACGTTTCTACACACACAGCTCCTGATGGACCGCCTCCTATGACTACAATACGTTGATTTTCCTTTAAATCCCTCCTAACCATCTTCTTTATTCGTTTATTGGCTATTAATTCAGCTTTTCTAGCCCTCACTTTCACCTTATCATCTTCTATGGTAACCTTATAACAAGGCAGTGAATCTAAACCGGGAAAATCTTCTATATCACCTGTTTGGATATTGAAACAGGCTCCATGCCATTGGCATCTGACTCTTCCGTCTCCTAAAGCGCTGGAAACCAATGGTGCGCCATAATGTGTGCATTTTGTTCCTATAGCACTAATTACACCCCTTTGTTTTACTAAAAGCACCTTTCCTTCATCTAAATCTACAGTTTTCAATTCGTTTTCCTTCAAATCAGCGACGTTGCAGACGACGTCTTCAACATATTCTTCATCGGGTTTGTTTTCTTGTGACGGACCTGAAAAGTAGTAATTAATTCCTGTTTGCACTCCTTTTATAACGCACTGGGTTAGATTAAACATTGTTGGGATTATTTAATCTTAAAATAAAACTCATTATTTGTGACATTCGTTTTGGTAAGAAATTACGTCACGAAATTCTAAAATAAAAATCAATACGAAAACAGGGTCACACGACTTGCCCAGTACAAAATACGACTGCAACAGATTTTATACAACTCGTAATTTGTTAAAACATTATTTAAAATCCTTCAAACAAGATTTTCGGAATTTGATCCGTAATTATACCTAAGAGCGATTTTATTTTAACCTTGATATACCTAGGTATCTATTATGAATGTCTTTAAATACACCTACAATATTAGTTCCTCAGAAAAATTAAATCTATTTTCTAAAAAAATATAATGTATATTTATATTAATCTGGTTCAAGATGTATAGATAATAGATATGGACGATAGAAAAAGTAGAAATTATTGATTTCATCTTATAGTGTATTTTGATTTTATTAATTTCAATACCACCCAACAGCGGATCATTTAGATACAGAGTGGATAGTGGAACAAATTATTTATATATGCAGGTACAGAAATTTAAAATCGGACCATTTAAACCAAGTCTATTAAGAGGTGAGCGTAAGTAGGAATGAGGTGGAAGTCGTTCGTATCGTGCGCCAGGCGTTCGACGCTGATCAGCAGTCTTACTCCATGTCGGCAGTTTTTGTTTCACTCATGGTTCTATTATATATTGACAAATTAATTTTAAAATAGATGGTCTGCTTTTAGAATTGCGTATCTATAATGTACATATGTAGCAAAAGATCGATACTGCATTAATTAAATGTAAAATAAACCAAATGTGGGAAGTATTCATAATACCATAGTTACCAGCAATCAAAAAATTATCAAATAAGAATTTTACCTCTTTGTGAAAAAGGTTGATCTTCTCTAAACTATAATTTTTTTTTAAAATCGCCTTTGAACCATCTCAAGCTTATTAGTGTGAATTTTATATCTTTGACAACAAACCCCTGATTCATATACTTTATCTTTGACCTACAAAGTCATTATACATTTCAAGTTTCAACCATTTGTGTGATACGTTAAATGTAGTTTATACGCTGACCAAGTATTCTAAATTTGTTATCAAATTCAACAACTTTTAATGTACTTAGTTAACTGTAGATAAAACAAAAGTTACTTTTAATTTTTACTAAAGTCTCGGACACATAAATAACAGTGGCTCAAAAACGGATTCTTGGGGTACCCCCTAACTAGCATACATTTCGATAGACTTAAAAACTCTTGATATTTGGCTGTTTAAACAAGTAGGTAAGAATTTAAAAAACTAATTTTTAACAGTTTTTGTAATTATTATTCAGTCAATTTTATCGAAAGCTTTTGAAAAGTCGGTATAAAAATGACAGATTAACCCATAGATATATAACCCGACTAGAAAAAAAAATGGGAAACAATTAAGTTTTTAGTATTTATTGATTATTCCTAGAATTATATAAAATCATAAGCAGAAAAACAGGTAGGTAAATAAATTATACCAAAAAAAAAAACAGACTCGAATTCTGTATAAGTTTATTTATGTATTTTTGCTAAAGACTTTAAAAAGTTTATTCGTTCGAAATGAAAATATGGAAAATAATAAAATGTGTAAAATGTTAGGTTATGTTCATGATACTTTTGTCCTATTTATCGTACATTAAATCGACCTAAACTACATAAGCAAAAAGGCTTATAATAACTTACGTGTAGTTTGGATACTTTTTGCATCGCTTATTTTAACAGTTTTGGACGTTGTGCACCCCATTTGAGAATTTGAAACTAAATTTAATGACTGTCTACACACTTTTAGAAGTTCTAGGGCAGATTTTAGTACTTTCTATCTAGAAAAAACCTTGCCAGAGGAATTAATTTCCTATTTCCTAATTAATTTTAATGTTTATCAGTTGTTCGTTAAGTCAAGGTTACGGATAATTCTTTATTATTATGGGAAATAACTAATAAAGGCAATATTATAGTTAAGGATCTCTTTATAGATAAAGCAATGTATGAAAATTAACATTATTTATCCATAGTAATTACAATGATTAAATACAATAAGTTTTATTATTTTAAAATCTATTTTTATTACATTACTACATATATTATTAATTTATTTTAAGATAAGATGTGGTCACGCCCTCTACCTAAAAATAGTACAGAGACGAACTAGCCTAGCGGATACACAAATTTATTTATACAGGATATCTTGAATATTTTCCTGTTTAAAAAAATAGGTAAAAGATGTACGGGATCTGACTTTCTAAAGATTGATAAATTTAATGTTTTTTTTAAACCTGTTTTGATTATTTTTTTTTTTTCACCATAAGATAAGTAATAATTATCTTTGACCTAACAAAACCACATGCACACGGACGTCTAAAAGACGTCCTTCAGGGACATAAAGGACGTCCGAGGTACGTCCTCTTTTGGTACGTGGACGTCCTAAATGTCCCGTTTCGTCTTAGGGACCTTTGCGGGACGTCCTAGGGACGTAAATCAGACGTCCGAGAGACGGTATTTGACCATAATCCATAAAGGATAATAATAACAAAAATGTTAACAATAAATGGACTTTTTATCCTGAAAAAACTACTTAGAGTTAAACGTTTTCAGTTTACAAAAAAAAAAACAGGAATTAATTAAATTTAACACACAGCGCTGGTAAGATGAAACCTTGGGTCCAGGGCTGCCGTTTCAGTACAATTGTACTAAATTTAGTACATTTCTCACATCAAAGTACAAAAGTACATTTTAAGTCAAATCAGGGACAATTTAGTACAATTTGAAATACTCGTCTTTGTGGCAGCATCTATGTATTGAAAGCCTAAATTTTCCGATAATAGGGTAAGTATTGTAAATATTGGCGGTATTTTCCCTAAAGAAAAGGGTTTTTACATAAGGTATATACCTATAACGATCAGAAACCGGTCACCGACTCCAGGATTTTGCGCAAATTATCCACTGCACAAAATTCTGATGTCAGTTACTGGTTTGTGATCGTACAATTTATTTTTACCTACCTTGATTAACAGATAAAACTTGATTAAAATAATAAAATTTAAAGGAAAACTCTATATTCATATTAACGTTTTGATATATTCCAGTGATATATTCCAATTTTTCAAAGTACATAAGCAACAAAAACAAAACTCCCATTCATCCTACAGTTGACATTTGACATAACAACTGTCAACATACGTGACAGTTTTGACAATTGACAATCCATCTAAAATTTAATACAATTTAGTACATTTTCCTCGAATTTTCTAGTACATTTCTAAATATCTCCGCGGCAGCCCTGCTTGGGTCCTACTTATAGCATCGTACATGTATATGAACGATGCTTATAGCTTGTGTCGACATAACTATAATTTTGTCAAAATTAGTTTTGTTCCAACTTTCCGCCATTAAGGTCTTTTCTTTCCACCAGCGCTACCGCCAATACACATCACTTATTCTCACAACACAAAACACTCACTTCACTTTATAACCACTTTACCACCAACATCAAAAAAATAACAAATAACACTATATAACTTTATTTTTGCTTCGTTAATCTAACTCACTTATAGAAGCTAATTTTTTAATGCCGAAAATTGTAGCTGTTGTTGTCCATTTGAAAATAAATGATAGGTTAGGTTTTCTGTCCTCATACTCTTGCAAAAACAAAACGTTGAATTTCAAGTTATCGATTCAAAAACCAACGATGCTAGTACGTAGAAAGTCCCATTAACGTCCTGGACTCGGGTCGAAACGGGACCAAAATAGGACGCCCTAGTGTTCACGGTAATCGGAAGTCCAGTGGACGTCCGATTTAGGTCCCGGACCAACAAGGGACCAAATCAGGACGTCCTGTGCTATATGGGCTCCTTATTATACTCTTCACACAGAACCGTAATATGGGGCGACTTTGAGTTTTGGAGGCTACTTTGATAGTAGCCCCCACCCAAAGATAAAACTGTTGTAGCTGGGCAGCTATTCACTTTTAAATTATGTTTGACATTGCAATCGGCAGTTGCACTTGTGAACGAGCAGTGGTTAATGCGAGGTGATTATATTTAAAAGCCTCCATTAGAAAATTAATCGAAAATCAGACATCACCTTATTCTAGATTTTGTTAAGTGGTTATAACTTTGAATTCACTAAAGTAAGTTTTATTTTCACACAATTTTTGAAAGTATAATTGTAATTAGGCATAAATTTGCTTGATTTGTCCCTAAATGCATGTTTATAGAAAAATGGTAGGTACCTATAGTAAAATCGTAATAACACACCAAGGGGTCACTTTGATCATAAGGATGGGGCTACTTTGATATACGATCAAAGTCGCCCCTTGGTTGACTTTTTAGTTTTTTCTATAATTTAGACTAATTTATATATTGTGTTTTTGTTTCAGATGGTGCGAACTTACAAAAAGGTACTTGGATCTCGTAATTACAAAAATTACACAGACGAGCACTTGAAAAAATCGCCGATGGGCGGTTGTCAATAAGGGCTGCGGGTTTCGAATATAAAATACCATTTGGAACACTACATAACAAATTTCATGGCAGACATTCACGCGATGCGGGTGGGCAACCTATATTTTCCACTACTGAAGAAAGCGCCCTTATAAATGCTGCTAAGTGTGCCGATTGGGGGTTGCCACTTACTCTTCTGGATTTAATAATGCTTGGAAAAGCGTATTTAGACAAATGCGGACGAGCTGTAACCAAATTTAAAAATAACATTCCAGCAAGGATTGGACCTTTAGTCTTTTAAAACGACACAAAACAGAAGTTGCTCAACGCATAGCTAGAAACATAAACAAGAGCCGCGCTGCGGTTTCCAAGGAAACGTTAGAGATTTATTTTGCGAACTTGCAGCAAACATTAGATGGTGTAACGCCTGAAAATACGTTTAATTATGATGAAACCAACGTCGGCGATGACCCGGGAAAGGCCCGGGCTATATATCGAAAGGGTACCAATACCAAAAAACCAGAAAAAGTTTTAAATCATTCTAAAAGCAACACTACCATCATGGTTTGTGGATCTGCGGATGGTACCCTATTGCCTCCTTATGTAATATATAAGAGTGAGCACTTATATAATACCTGGAAGGAAGGAGGCATTAAAGGTTACCCATGTTGTGTAACTGGATGCAGATTTAATAGGACATCCCATGGATGGATAGACACAAACACATTCCAGGATTGGTTTGAAACTAGCTTCTTACCACATGCTCGAAGATTAGAGGGAAGAAAGGTACTAATTGGTGACAATTTAGCATCGCATTTTAGCGAATCTATTATTCGTTTATGTGAAGAGAATAACATTTCCTTCGTTTGTCTCGTGCCAAATTCGACGCATATATGCCAACCGTTGGACGTGGCATTTTTTAAGCCGATGAAAGTAGCCTGGCGTTCCATACTGACGGACTACAAGCTAAAAAATAGAGCATCTGGTATCCAAAAGGAGATTTTCCCTTAGCTTTTAAAGCGTGCCCTACAGAAAATGGACCAAGCTACGCCACAAACCAGTATTAAACCAGGAGACCAAGAAGAATCTGCAATAAAACGGAATCTAATTAACGGTTTTTACGCGAGTGGAATACACCCATTCAATCCCAGGAAAGTCCTCGACAAAATTCCGGGAACGTCAAAGAACGATAACAATCCGGGGCCCATTGTTGAAGATGCTGTCTCAGAATGATTACGTTCAAATCGTTTTGGTGGCTAAAACAGTCAAAGAATTCAACGAAAAAGAAAACGCAATATAGAGCCAGGAAAAAGTGTAGCAACCGTTGACAGCAGCAGTTCAGATGAAGCTTTAGACATGTCGGAGTCGGATAATACTTCAGTCGATGATTCAGCTATAGAGGAAGTAGAATATACGCATCCCGATCCACAACTTTTATTACCAGACTGTTTTGTTTTGGTTCATTTCCTTGGGGGAAAACGACGTTCCATGCAGTACAAATATGTCTGTAAAATTCAGTCACAATTTTCAGAAACTGAATATACAGTGGTTGGCTATAAGTCGACAAACCAAGAAAAAACTGTATTCAGGCTTATGCCAAAGGATAATATCGACAGTGCCATTGTCAGATATTCTGCCATATTGCCCCGACCAGGAACTGTTGATGGAACCGCTGAGATAAAATTTGAGAAGAAAGTTGATGTGCAGGAACTTTCAGAATGATTTAAACTTTTAAATACCCAAAGAACATTAATAGCCAAATAATAATATTTTACACAGTTTCTAATTTTAAGAAAGTTAGTTATTAGTTCTTGTCATATGAATTCTTTGATTTAGGTATTTATTTTTGTATGAAGGTACTTTTTTTTGTGTGTGTAAGTAAATTGTAGTCTAAATCATTCCGATCAAAGTCGCCCTCAAAACAAAATTTGACATACCAAAAAAACTACAACGTCAATTTGCAAACGGGGCGATTATGATAATGTTATGTGAGCCATTTCATTATTCAGTCATGCTCTAACCCTACAAGTCCCTCTCTGTCTTATTTAGCCTTTGAAGCTCAACTTGTCCGATTATTATACAAAATTAAACCCCTTAAGACCAAACCTATGGGACGACTATGGCGGAGATGATTTCGATGACTATTCGAGAAAGGACGAGATCATATTTCTGGACTGTTCCAATATTTCTAGTTTGGTGGAGGAGCTTCTAGACTCCACCAAACTTTAGAAATTTGTATATAAATATTGGTGGAAGAACAGAGTGCAGTCAGTTATTATATGGACAGTGAAGATAAATAGTAATT